GTCATTTTATCTTTCTTTTGCCTTGTTATCCTGCAATTGGGTGTTTTTTGTTTACAAAGACAAAAATAACATAATTGTGAGTCGAAATCCACCCCTTTAATCAATAATAAACTTGTTTAGGCCTCCAATAAGTATGTAAAAACACACTCATCAGTCTTTCTTGTTTTCTTCGAGCATTACTTCAATTTCAATTGCTGAGTTATTTCTTGACAACTTTTAAATGGTGTTGATTTTTATGTATACAAGATGTAATGTGACAATTTTTTTTTTTAATACCTAGAAATTACATAGCATCTTAGAGCTCGGCCAACTCATAATTGCACCAAAGAATCAACAATCCAACGAGATCAAACTAGCGTCAAGACAATCCGTTTAATAAACTCCGACAAAGATGAAAAGGCTAAACTTACACTAATCATTTTTAACTAGAAGATTGGCCAGGTCTGGCCTAGCCCACATGGTTTACACAAGCGATCAGCTCGGCAAGATAGAACTAATTAAACTCTAGCAAGACATGTTGCATCGTCTAGGACACATATTTCTTAATTTAAAATGACGTTTTTATATGACTGAATGCATTTTGTTTCCTCTTTCTATTTCCGTGCAACACAAGTTTAACACCATTATAAGAAAGTTATAAATCGTCTCCATCGATTGAAGTGAACAATTAGAATTGTTGTTTCAATTTACCGATAAGAAACAAATTTAAAACAAAATATTGCTATTTAAAAATGATATTTCTAGTGAATGGGTTTTTTCCTATTAATACTTCGTACTCTGATCAAATGAACTAATTTTCTCAAACATCTTTCATGAGTCCCGATTTAGCCGCCCTATTCTAAGACTAATTTTTTAAACTCATTTTCAACCATATATTTCATAAAATCCACAACTTGATTTCTATAAGCTTTTATCTAAATTTACTAAAAAATAAAATTTCTACAAAATTGTTCTTCATACAAAAGGGTAAATTTCTTTTTCGTCCTTTATACTAAATAATTGACATACAAAGGCTCGCAAATGGATGATTTAATGGTCTTTAGCGGACAAGTGATGCTTTTAATGGAGCGGTCAACGTAAAGGTTGGAGCAAAAGTGATGGTAAGTGCATCCATTATAATGATTGATATTCTAATTAAATAAGCGGAATAGAGCGGGGAGGGTTCAAGCTTTCTCGCTTAAAGAAACCGCGTGGGTGAATTTTACTTGCCACAACATCAACATCAATGTCAACGTCAATTTCATCCTTTTAGCACTTTCATCGGCCGAAAATATGGGTTAGCTGTCGTTTAGTGTATGTTATCGAGAGCTTATTTTTAATTAAGAATAAAATAATTTAGTGATTAACGAAATTAGGATTGAACAAAACTCTCGAACTGAATCGGATTGAACCGGGCCTGAATTGAACTGAGCGATTCTTCTTAAGTTAAATATTCGTACGAGTATTTGAATCGAGAACCGACGGATTTAGTTCGATTCTCGGTTCTAGACAAAAATTGAAGAATCGAATAAGAACCGAATCTCCATAATTTTTTTAACTTTTTAATATTAAATAAGTCAAATTATTTTATTTTTTTCTAAATAATTTTGCTAACTAATTAATTTAGTCCAAACCTAAAATATAATTTTCCTATTTCTAATTTCCAGCAAATCCCAATTTAATCAAATTGATCTAAATTTTATCCAAATATCTTATTCTACAATAGTGCCGTTTCTGTCGTTATTGATAAATCAAATTCGAAACTCAACTGCGTCTCTTTTCATTATTGTGAGTTCACTATCTTCCCCTTCATGTGATTTTAACTGTCCAATCAGTGATTAACTCGACAAAAAGAGGCTCAAAAGATATCACGGGATTGTATTACGTGATTTTGTCAGGGCTGAGATTAACCATGACATTAATTGAATAAATATAGTGCTGTTGTAAATATAAAAAAATAATTATTATACTAAAATCGAAAACCAAACTGAATCCGAACAGTTCCATAATTAAATTTGGAACAGACCACTTACTAAATACCTGAAAATTCAGGCTTGATTCGATTCTCTTTAAAATTGAATCGAACCGGACCATTTCCAATTCTAAGTGCAATTAAGACCTTTTCTAACCATAATAATAATTTTATTTTTAATTAGGACTTTAATAAGGATAATGTTATTTAGTTTCACATGAACTACAATTCATATGGTGTTAGGTGACATGTTAGATGAAAGAAAAATGTTATTCATCCCCAGTGAGAATGCATCCTCAGTCTATGTGGATGTAAATGATTGGTTAAATGATAGGTGAAATTAAATGACTTATTTAATTTCACATATCATTTAATGTCACATAGATTGGGAATGCATCCTGAATGAAATGTGCAATTAAATGGCCCATTTAATTCAACTGATCATTTAAGAAGTAACGTTGCACATTTAATAACTTAGTAATTAGGGTGATTCAAAACATTTTTAACCCTCATTAATTTTTTATTTATTCAAATCACAATCAAGATAATTACACTTATCATTTATTGTCGTCACCTAAATTGGAATTGTAATTTCAATGAGACCAGATAACATTACCTTAGGAACGATAAATAAGAATTACATAAAATGAGGTTGAGAAAAAAAATTGAATGCATTTTAAACTTACAAATAATAAAATGTCGTACCATAGTCTAATCCATCGGGTAAACCATTGTCTACATGACAAAAATAATAGTGTCATAGGTC